TGCAGAACCCTCACACAAAGAGGTAATCACAGGTTATGCAGACGAACATAAAAACAGATGTAGCTGGCCGGGTGCAGAGGCTCACGCCTGTGATCCTAGCACACTGAGAGGCCGAAGCGGGTGAATTGTTTGAACTCAGGAGTTCAAGACTAGCCTGAGCAAGAGCGAGACCCTGTCTCTACTAAAAATAGAAAGAAATTAGCTGGACAACTAAAAATATATAGAGAAAAAATTAGCCAGGCATGGTGGCACATGCCTGTAGTCCCAGCTACTTGGGAGGCTGAGGCAGGAGGATCGCTTGAGCCCAGGAGTTTGAGGTTGTTGTGGGCTAGGCTGACGCCACGGCACTCTAGCCCGGGCAACAGAGTGAGATTCTGTCTCAGAAAAAAAAAATTCCTTCTTGTGTCATGTGGAGATTTTAATGCAAAAAACCGGAGGTGACTCAGTGGGAACTCAAAGACGCACAAACGTGTGTAGCACGCAGTTAAAAGCCTGAGGTTAGGACTAAATTTCACACATAATGAGCCATTCACGTTCTTGTTCTGGTGTTCCGGACCCGGTTGATTTGCTCTGAAAGGAAACGTTTTTGGATCTTTGGGTTGAGGAGGTTATTTCCTCTAACTCAATCAGGGAAGATATGGTGGGCTTGGCCCGGGCTGAGAATGTTGACTTTCAATAAACAGTATTTCTTTTTTTTTTTTTTTCCTATCGAGGAGCACTTTCCTGGCATCTCTGCAGTGTCCTGGTGCCCGGAGCGGGAGCTGGAGGCTGCTCCCCTCCCAGGCCCCAGCGCCTGTCCCTGTGGACTCTGTGCAGGCTGCAGCCACCCTGCGTCCCCACTGCCCTGAACCCACCCTGGCAGGGGCTGACTGACCCGGGACACCAAGGATGGTGGAACGACTTCTTTCAGGGCCCAACTGATGCAAGACCAGCTTAGCCCTGTCTGTGCCCACAGCAGGCCGGGCCCTGTCCCCAGCATGCCCTGTCTGGCTCTGGGCATTTCTCGTTAAGAGACTAAGTAGCAGCCAGCAGGAGACCGGGGCCAAGGGGTTGTGCAGCCTCCAGGGGCAGGGCACTCCCGGACACAATTCCAGAGCTGGGGCCCCCGGGGGGCATCCCACCAGGGGCAGGTCTGGCCCTGCGTCATCATGGGACCCTGGCAGTTTTCAGCACAGCCGTGGTGGGTGTCCCTGCTTCACACTCAAATATTTGCAAGATGCGGAGCAGCGCACTGTAGGGACGCAGAGAGGAGTCTCCGGACAGGATGATGCCCGAAAGAGTATCCAGGAAACCCGGCACGGAGAGCCCGGGGCGGGCCAGGGAACTCCGGTTTGGCCTCTCCCTGCATCAGGAAACGCGCCGCTGCCCTGGGTCCGATCATGCTCCCAGACTGCCAGAAAGATCGTTCTCACACGCATGGGGGTAGAGCACGTCCGGGTTCGCTCAGCTGACTAACAAGGGGCCCAAAAAGAATCAAGTGCTGGCCCAAGAAGCATTTGGAAACCTCCATTCATGAGTCAGTGGGAACAGGGGCCAGCGGGACCCAGGATCGCTGACACCCGAGGGACAGGGAACGCTGAGCCTGGCAGAAAAACAGGGCCGCGAGTTTTCCGTTTTATGCAAGTTAGCCTCACTCATTTCGGGGCTGTGCAGTCACCGAGGACGGATGACAGGTGGCCTTGTGCAGCCCCTCTGGAAGTGCAGTGCCGTCTGCGCGGTCAGCCCCGTGCCTGGAGGTGGCAGGGGTGCAACCGTCGGCTGGGGGACGAGGGAGGCGGTGGGTGCAGCGTGAGTGTCCGGGGGTGGATGCAGAAGCCCCCCCCCTCCCCCCGCAACCCACCCCCAGGCTCTCCTGAGTTCCAGTCCGGGCAGCAGCGGTTCTGACCCATCTCCGCTGCCTTCCAGGCTGAGCAGCAGCAGGAAGTCAGCTTCCACCCTGGGCATTCCAGAAGGCACAGCACTCTCCCATCGGCGTGGGGCTGGGGCAGCAGTGTTTGCAGACAGACCCCTCCCCACGTGAGGCCCAGGTTCCCAAAGTGGGGTCCCCTGGCTTGCAGCTTCAGCAGCACCTGGGGCCTTGCTGGAAAGGCAGGTTCCTGGGCTGCCAGGAGTGGGGAGCCAGAGGCTCTGGGTGGCCGCTGTGCCGGCTCTGATAGCTAGCTGGGCCTTGATTCAGAAGGGAAGAGTGGCCAGGCGTGGTGGCTCACGCCTATAATTCTAGCTCTCTGGGAGGCCGAGGCCGGCGGATTGCTTGAAGTCAGGAGTTCGAAACCAGCCTGAGCAAGATCGAGACCCCGTCTCTACTATAAATAGAAAGAAATTAATTGGCCAACTAATATATAAAATTAGCCGGGCATGGGTGTGCCATGCCTATAGTCCAGTTACTTAGGGCTGAGGCAGAAGATTGCTTGAGCAGGAGGATTGAGGTTGCTGTGAGCTAAGCTGACGCCACGGCACTCATCTAGCCTGGGCAACAAAGCGAGACTCTGTCTCAAAAAAAAAAAAATGAGGCCCGGCGCGGTGGCTCACGCCTGTAATCCTAGCTCTCTGGAAGGCCAAGGCGGGTATATCGTTTGAGCTCAGAAGTTCAAGACCAGCCTGAGCAAGAGCGAGACGCCGTCTCTACTAAAAAAAAAAAAAAAAAAAAAAGTTAATTGGCCAACTGAAAATGGAAAAAAAAAGATAAAGGAATAAAAAAAAATTTTTTTAAAAATTGACTTCTTGTTTAAGCTAGTTCAAGTTGCGTTTCCGCTATTTGTAAGTAATAGTCTTTATTTATTTATTTATTTATTTATTTATTTATTTATGTATTTTGAGACAGAGTCTCTCTCTGTCACCCTGGCTGGAGTACAGTGGCATGATCGTAGCTCACGGCAGCCTCAAACTCCTGGGGTCAAGAGATCCTCCTGCCTCGTTCTCCCAGGTGCTGGGACTACAGGTGTGCACCACTGTGCCTGGTCAGGTGATTATTTTTATCTGGCTCTCCAGGTAGTAGTTTGCCAAATTCTGGTTCAGCCAAGGGTAGCTTGAAGGTGATGGCCAGGAGGTGGTGAGGAGCAGAGGGGCAGGAGGACAGCAGAAGGGTCTCCCCATCTTCCTAAGAATGTCTGGCCGTTCCTCACTAACCACCACTGGGAACCCTAATGGGCATAAGCCCTGAAGGTGGGCTGAGGACTGACAGGTGACAGGGGAGGGGGACAGCCAGCAGAAGGAGGTAGCTGGCCCGAGCTAGGACATTGCCAAGTAACTCACAGCTGATTGGAACATGGGGACTGAGGGTTAGAGATGAGAAGAGAAATTCCCCAAGTATTTTTAGTTTTATGAGGTGAGAGAGGGGTCAAAATTCCACCTGTCTCATATTTTTCTAGTGTCCACCTTCCTTTTTATTTCTATTTTTATAGTGGCTCTACTAGTGCCTAAATTCACTGATTGGTCAATAAACAATAGGTGTTGTAAACTACACTGGCATTGGAAAGTAAATATCAATCCCAGATGGATGTGGGGAAAAAAAAAAGCCAGCCTCACTGGTGTGATATAATCTGCTTAAAGTACACTTTCCCCACCCTGTACTTGAGATGAACACTAAAGCCATCCTTTCAAATGTAAAAAGCAAAAACAAAAACAAACAAAAAAGTAGCAGGGCACAGTGGCTCACCTGTAATCCTAGCACTTTGGGAGGCAGAGGTGGGAGGATCAATTAAGGCCAGGAGTTCGAGACCAGCCTGAGCAAGAGCGAGACCCCATCTCTACAAAAAAATAGAAAAAAAAAATTTGGCCAGCGCGGAGGCTCATGCCTGTAATCCTAGCACTCTGGGAGGCCAACGGGGGCGGATTGTTCAAGATCAGGAGTTCGAAACCAGCCTGAGCAAGAGCGAGACCCTGTCTCTACTCAAAATAGAAGGAAATTAATTGGCCAACTAAAAATATAGAGAAAAAAATTATCCGGGCATGGTGGCGCATGCCTGTGGTCCCAGCTACTCGGGAGGCTGAGGCAGGAGGATGGCTTGAGCCCAGGAGTTTGAGGTTGCTGTGAGCGAGGCTGACACCATGGCACTCTAGCCCGGGCAACAGAGTGAGAGTTTGTCTCAAAAAAAGAAAAGAAAAAGAAAAAAAATTTTTTTCCAGGAGTGGTGGCTCGCACCTGTAGTCCCAGCTACTTGGGAGTGTGAGGTAGGAGGATTGCTTAAGCCCAAGAGTTGGAGGATACAGTGAGCTGTGATGACACCATTGGCTATAGCCCCAGTGACAGAGCAAGACTCTGTCTCAAAAAACAAAAGCAAAGCAAAACAAAACAAAACAAAGTAAACATGTTCTTAAAATGAACACAAATGACAATAATAGAAATCTTTTTTAAATTTTTGTTTTCATTTTATTAATTTAAATATTGGTTTAATTTTTAAAAATAGAAATGGGGGTCTCACTCTTGCTCAGGCTGGTCTTGAACTCCTGACCTCAAGGCATCCTCCCGCCTCAGCCTCCCAGAGTGCTGGGATTACAGGTGTGAGCCACCATGCCTGGCCATTATGATAGAATCTTGACTTCAATTGCTTTTGTAATTCTTCCACTGGCTCTTCTCTTCCTCCTCCACCCCCAAAAAACCTGAATGGGAGTCTGAAGCAGCTCCCCACAGAAGCACAGTCAGGTCTCCCCATCACAAAGACACATGCACGAGCAGACACCTGCAGAGGCACCAGGTGCACACAGAGGTACATGCAGACACCTGCAGAGGCACCAGGTGCACACACATGTACATGCAGACACCTGCAGAGGCACCAGGTGCACACAGAGGTACATGCTGACAACTGCAGAGGCACCAGGTGCACACAGAGGTACATGCTGACACCTGCAGAGGCAGGCACCAAGTGCACACACACACATACATGCAGACACCTGCAGAGGCACCAGGTGCACACACACGTACATGCAGACACCTGCAGAGGGACCAGGCAGACCCGAGCCCACAGCGGGTGACACGCGGCCGCGCCCCGCCCCTGATCCCTATGGCTCCGCCCCCGTCCCATCTCCCGGCCGCCATTAGCTGCGGGAGCAGAGTCTCCGCCCCTGCTCCTTGTGGCTCCGCCTCCGTCCCATCCCCGGACCTCCATTGGCTGCGAGAGCGGAGTCCCCGCCCCCGCTCCCTCTGGCTCCGCCCCGCCTCGCCTCCGGACCTCCATTGGCTGCTGCGACGGCGTCCTCGCGCGGGAGGGGCCGGTGGGCGTCAGCCCGGAGGCGGCGACGAGAGCGAGATGGACGCGCCGCCCAGCCAGTGAGCGCGCGCAGCCGCCCCAGCAACTGCGGCCCGCCAATGGCGGGGCGGGGCGGGGCCGCGCGCTGTC